AGCCATTTGTGAAAATATTAAATATCCCAGGGGCCTACCCAGAAAAATGAATGAGTGCAGCAATGAATCCTGGAGATTGTCATCTGCAAGGACGCGCGAGAGAGGCTGCGGTCGTCCAAGAACAAACACCATGGGATCCTCCTGGCACAAGGGTTTAGGGGATTTAGGCTTTAGGATTTAGGGTTCAGGGCCAACAAACTTCACGACTGCTATATATGTGCCCCACCCGACACCCGAGCAGCTTGAAAGATGTGGGCTCCACCCAAAAACTCCCAAAAACCACAGCTTCCTTATTATAGGGACCCATAACGTTTTTAACCCCAATACACAGTCCTGCCTTACTAGGTTGGCCCCGAAAACCCTTTGAAAAATATTAGTATATAGGGTCACTTATTAAAGCCATCAGGGAAAATAGTAAATATCCCAGGGGCCTACCCAGATACACAGTTCTGCCGTAGAGGGACCCCTAGTTTGTTTAGACGCCATCAGGCAGGCGCTGCGCTGTGAGCCTCTGCTGGCTCGGGCTGGCTCCGACGCGTCTGATTCCGCAGGCGGTCCTGGCGCTCCAGAAAATGAAATCTCGCATCATTTCATATCATTATTGCTCTTCTTAGTACCCTAAACCCTAAAACCGTAAACCCTAAAACCCTAAACCCATTCTTGGTATCCAGTGGCTCATCAGGCTGCTAAGCATGGCTGCAACTACAACGTCTTGGAAAGTTGTGGGATATACAGGGCTTATGTAGAGGTAATATAGGTTTTAGGGTTTAGGGTGTTATATAAGGATTATAGGGGTGTATGGGGCTTACAGTGGAGAATGGAAAAGAACATGGAAACTACAGTACTATTTAGGGCCTAGGGTTTATTATACAGCCCATTGGGTTTGGGGCTTCTCAAAATCAGGGGTACTTCTTGGGGGGTCCCTATAATAAGGATGATAGCATACTGGGGGAGTATATGGGTGTGCAGTAGAATTGACAGTAGATTATCCTATAGCCCGTAACGTTGGGTTGTAAATGAAATTGGAAATTCTACTGCAGTTTGTTATTCCCATGGACCTTCGGTGTAGCTGGTCACTACAGTATCAGGTGGAGCCCGCGAACTGGAGGCCATTGTTTGGCCAGCAGAAACTCATACACAGAGCTCTGCAACAGCACCCCTCCTCAAGTGATGCCCGTGATCGCTTGCTTTGTGCACCTTGGCAGACAAAGTTCACCCCGATTCTCTGAGCTCACAGCTGACTTCGCATGGGCGTGGCCATGAGTTCATTCAAACTTCTGCGTTTGGAGGGTGTTTGACTTGTCCTCTTATCAGATAGAATAAAACGGGTCGTGTTTCGTCTGTAGTTTAGCTAGATTGTACACTTGCTGCATGATTTCAGAGCTGGTGGTCTGCCAGGCGAAACGTCCCGAGGTTTTGGAGTTTTAGGGGATATGGGTACCCATTGGGGTAACATTAGGGTTATATTGAGATAATGGAAAATAAAATGGAAACTACTGTAGGATCTGTCTAACTCATTTCAACTCACACGTGGGTCGCTGCATGTCCCCGAGGATCGTGCTGGTTACCTCCTCCTTCAGTGTCTTGGAGATCTCCTGGTGCAGCTTCATAGGCTTTTGCAGGCAAGCACTTGTACTTGCGACTGGTCTTCCTCTTGTGTCGCGCTCGATGGCAATGCCGTATAACTGCAGCTGTCTTGAGCATCTGTGGATGTTCTGGCAACCCTAGGATGCAGAAGCAGCAGGCCGACCCCTCAAGAAAGTGTCCAGTCTTTCCTCCTCTGCGGTCACCGGCGGAATCTCTGGGAGCGCTGCCTCAGCTGCACTGCGACATAGGTTAGGAGGACCCCCCATGGCATAATAGCAAGAAAAGTGGACCCGAATATAATCCTTATTATCCCTTATAGTCACTATTACTGGGTGGGGGGTCCACCCAAGACACAGGGCTCAAGAAGTTCCACAAAGAAACCTCACTCGCCTTTGATGTCTTGGCTCCATGGCCAATGGTCATCACCTATGCGCCTGCATCCGCCTGTAAGGTTATCGTGCTCAAACCCTGATCCTACAGTAGTTTCCATTTTATTTTCCATTATCCCAATATAACCCTAATGTTACCCCAATGGGTACCCATATCCCCTAAACCCCTTAAACCTTAAACCCTACTTTCTTCCCATAACTTGCCTCCCATGCTACCCTAAACCTTAAACCCTAAACCCCAAGCCCTAAACCCTTGACCCCCTTAAACCTTAGACCCTACTTTCTTCCCAGGACTAAGTGCAGGGCTGGCTCAGGAGCATCTTCTCCATCCTGAACAGCGCAACAGTTCTCAAGCTGCCCCGGATAGCAAGGGAGGCAAGTCATGGGAAGAAAGTAGGGTTTAAGGTTTGAGGGGTTTAGGGGACATGGTTTGGGGTTAGGGTTTAGGGTTTAAGGTTTAGGGTAGCAAGGGGGGCAAGTCATGGGAAGAAAGTAGGGTTTCAGGTTTGAGGGGTTTAGGGGATATGGGTACACATTGGGGTCACATTAGGGTTATATTATTGGGATAACGGAAAATAAAATGGAAACTACTGTAGGATCAAGCAGAAATTGTCGAAGCCGTTGCTGGCGTAGGCAGGTTGCAGGATGGCATCCTAAGTAGTTAGCATCAGGCACTTGAGGCACTAGCGCTTCTGCCATCCCTGTCTCAGCACAATTGAGCGGGTGCTGCTCGTCCACAGCCCGCCACGCGGTTGCATTAAGAAAAAACTCTGCAAACGTTGTAGATGAGACTGATTGAAATGGGAGCAGCTCAACAAGTTGCTACAGCGCTTCAGCTGTCAATATGGCTCGAGAGAGATATATCTATATATAATGTGGCTATGTATTGCTATTTATAGGTATTCGACACTGCTTTGCAATTTATGACCTGCGTCGTGTGGATGGCCTGCGCATCACCAGTCGGTGAGGGCCTGGTGTGCTGAAGATAGTTCTCTTGCGAAGGTTAACTGTCTGCAAGAACATCCAGCCACGACACTTCTGTAAGACGCTTGTCCCATCTGCAATAATTCTGATTGCTGCTGTGATTATGCTTGTTATTCTTATTACAGTTCTTATTGCATTCATGATTGCTATTGTTATTCCTATGACTATTATTATCGCAATTATCACTACTAATATTACTACTAGTACTATTGTTATCCTAGGGACGATTTCAACACCATGGCACTGGCTGGTTGGGTGGAGTCCAATTGGAACTCTTCGCCTGAGACAGGGTAACAATAACACGAGTAGTAACATTAGAAACAACAATAATCGTGATACTAATAGTAATAATAGTAGTAATAGTTGTAATAAGAAGTGTAGTAAGAATAGTAATCACAAAAGTAATAACAACAATAATCATACTTAATGCATCCGAGCAGAACCGGACATGTCAAGCCAGCAACTGCCTGATACCTTAATCTCGACTCGGAATGTGAGTCACTAAACCCTAAACCCTAACTTTAAGCTCTTTGCTTGCGATGTTCTCACAGCAGCCCGTCCTTGGCAGCTTGCTTCGCTGCTCCCTTCGGCTTCCTCACCTGACAAGCAGGTCACCTTCCTGCATCGTGCAGAAGTTTACTGGCTCTTTGTAGGGAATATGGGAATATATTTAATATATGTATATATATATATGTATATATAGTATAAGCGGTATGTAGGGATTACGGCGCAGTATATAGGGATTATACGTCCTTATTCCCTACTAAGAGAATCAGCAAGATAAGCTTTGAGCATGCCGTAGTCTGCCAGCATATGAGCCATAATCTAAACCCCTGGTATCCCCCTTAATAATCCCTATTTAGGGAGTTTAGACCCTATACACCCTAAACCCTAAATAGTAGTTTCCATTTTCTTTTCCATTATCCCTATATCACCCCAATATAGTACCCCATAATCCCTATATAACCCCCACATAATCCCCCATAATCCCTACATAACCCCCATATAATTCCCCCATAATCCCTATATAACCCCTATAAACCCCTTTAAAGGGGTCCCTAATATACTATAGTAGTTTCCATTTTATTTTCCATTATCCCTACATGAAACCCCATAATCCCTATATAACCCCTATATAGCTCCTATGAGCTGAAGCCCTCCAGCTCTGCTAAAGTGTTAAGGGTCCAAGGACCCAAATAATGGGGTCCCTTTAAAGGGGTATATCTAGGGATATATAGGGATATATGGGTCCCTTTAAAGGGGTTATAGGGGGACTGTATAGGGATATATGGGGACTATATTGGGGTCCAAGGACCCAAAATAATGGGGTTTTAGGGCCCAAATACTATAATATTAATGGTATTTGGTCCCTAAAACCCTATTATTTGGTGTAGCTGCGGCTGCCTTCGGTGGGTGCCCGAATTGTGGACCGGGCAAATTCTCAAGCTCTTGTGTCCTCAGCACTTGGCGGGATAGTCACAGATAGCCTTTTCTGTGAACACAGGGTCCGGCGTGTCTACCCTCATCACTGCTGATCCTGCTACCCAAGACAAAGCGCCGCACAACTTCAACAAATCCTTGCATTGTACGTGGAAGCCTCAGCATGTCAAAGGCAGAAAGGCAAACTGTGCAATGGGTCTTGCGCGTGCTGAGTCTACACCGCACTTGATTTGTTAGGTTCCCTGTAGAATCTGTAGAAGTCTCCAACCAATGCAAATGGCTGCAGCAAGGACCATCACACTCTGCTGTTATCGCATGCACATACTGAAAGCCACTTGAAGCCACCCTGTGCAATTGTCAATTTTGCCTTCATTTCCAGAGCAGGTCTCGGGAAGAGGATGTCCCTTCCGCAACATATAGAAGATTCAACTGAGAATGGGCCCTGGTCGCTCGCTGTCTTGGAACACATACCTGACTGCAAAGATAAGTGGTTAAAGCCAACCCATCGCTCACGACCTGGCGCTCACACGGATTCCAAATTCGGTCGAAATGGAGAAGAAAGTGCAAGCGCCATTCTGGGCTGGTCTTTAGAGGCTCAACTCATCGTTGCTCCTCTCCAGGTGGAAATGTTGCAGCGCAGGCTAGTGACTGGACTGTAAAGCACCATGTGGGCTATCGGCGTTTACATGCCCGCCTGGTAGACCACCTTGATTGGCAGAGGGGCCAAGTTGCCGCCGCCGAAGGTGAAGGTGCTCTCGCCAATGCCCTTGCCCTCAGAGGAGACGCCATTCTCCTGAAGTGTGCAACATGGGCCCGGCTGTTGCCTTGCACCATGCAAATGCCACGACACGGTCCTTCAAGTTCAGCGACAGCGCTGCCACAGGATCCAGCACCTCGTCATCCATGAACTCCATGAGGTCCTCGAACCTTTGCAATCAAGCCGTGAAGTCAAACAGACCCTCCACGCTCAGTTAGGCTTAGAGGCTTGATGTTCTTCGCATCCTGGCCATTCACGGAAGCCACTACCCAGCCTGGGTGGGCAGCGCAACATCTGTACAGGACATTCATCCAACAACTTTCAACACACTTTGCAAGACCTGAGCTCCCACCTGGTGCCACCAAGGGCTAGAAACATATCGAAATCAAAGCTGATGAAGCGGGCTATTCCGTGGAGGCCTATGTGCTAACATGCACACCCTCGGCACCAAAACTCGTACGCTGGGATTCCCTGAACACGGAATCCAAATCAAACAACAGTCCCACAAGCCTTAGACGACACACACACACACACAAAATCCCATCGTCAGACAGAATCCTTCCATCATCTCAATGACTAGATGGTACTCGCCCGAAACCCGGCACTTGAACCTGTAGGGTGTCCCAGAACTGTGAAAGTCTATATGGAAGTTTCCCTAAATTACTGTTCCCAAAATGGGGGAAACTTATATAGGGCCCCGTATTATAATGGGAACCTAAATATAGGACCCTATATTATAGGGAATTTAGACCAATAACCATATGCCCAATCAGCGCATCCCTGCAACCAGAAGGATGCTCCAAATTACTCAGAAGAAATGGCCCCAGCTTTTTTAAAAAGGCTCCCATTTCCGTCAGGAATTCGGAGCCTTCTTCGGTCATCCTAGGTAGTACTTATTACTCCTCTTCCTATGCCGCGCTACATGTAGGATTTACAGCTCCACAAAACTCTAAACCCCAAAGTAGAGCCTTACTATAATTACAGCCCCCTTTAAGTAGATAGAACATGGGGTATATGGTATATGGGGATCTTATTATAATATACCCAAAGCCAGAGTCTATCTACTTAAGGGGGACTATACCCTTAACCCCGCCTGGCTGGACGCCTGCAACAAAGGCCTGCCCCTGCGGGTCGCCGGGGTAACGCGACTCCTGCTTCACCTGTCTTCTTCTCTCGCCAAAGTAACATGAGGATTGTCGAAAATTAGAGGTACCATTTTGGGGGTCCCAATAGTATCAGTATTCAGGATTGTATTACATTTTGGGGTCTATATTGGGATCCCCTTGTTTTGGGATACTACTATTCGGTGTTTAGCATGTCATGTGGCTTATGGCTTCGTCACAGCCTAAGTGCGGCAAGAGGTGGCCTATGATCAACTTTCAGTGCTCTTGGTCTTCGCAACATGCTCACGGATCACTATGAGCATAAGAAACTCCGGAAGGCATGTACCAGGAGTTGAGGCACAATGGAAGTGAAGCAGGACTCAAGATGATTGCTGTAGATGCCATCGGGCTTGCATGGAGCCTCATGTTGCACTCTTTTGCACTAGTCTCCACTAGCCAGATTTTGGGCCTGGCAATGAAACTGTTTCCATTTTCTTTTCCATTACCCCTATATAACCCTAATAATATACCCTATATTCTATCTACTTAAGGGGCCCTAAACCCTAAACCCTATATAACCCATTATAGTAGTTTCCATTCTATTTTCCATTATCCCTATGTAGAACTCAAAGCAGCAAGCCAAAGCAGGAAGCACCTCACGGACCACTGCACCATTGCCGTTGGCGCCAGGTGCGTAGCGGAGGATTCCAAAGGGCTTCCTGGAGGATATCTGGGGGATTCCCAAAATTAGGTGGTACTTTTTTGGGGTTCCCAATAATAAGGACTAGTATTTTGGGGTCTATATTGGGGTCCCTTTTTTTTGGGAAACTACCATATCTAGCAACCCTCTACGTGGCTGGCATGACGCAGATGATTAGGTGACAAAAGGCATGGTCGAGAACCAAGGTACTTCTTGAACTCAATCTCGTGCGTGGCACCCGAGGCCGAGGTCACGTCCATCAGGGGAGGGTCAGCATCCTTGGGGCCGTTGCGCAGGAGGTAGTCGACACCGACGCGACGCGTCACGGAGGATCCACCTCGCAGCTGGGGCGAGGAGCCAACGAAAGCTCCACCAAGTTGGCAGGCCACGCAAGCAAGGCCCAATGCGGTGATGAGGGCGCCGGTGGCGGAGCGGGATCGGGCCATGGCTTCCGAGGGAGAAAAAGGAGTAACTGAAGGCAAATGTGCACTTTTCGAGCCTGTCACCAAGCCATGAAGCACTCTGCTGTGTGGCCACTCCACAGTTCAAGTTCGCCCTGTTTTCAACACAAATTGTGGGTTTCCTGACTCCAAATATATATATATGTATACACATACATATGCATGTGTATATACTATCTATAGCATTGTGGGTTTCCTGGCTCCAAAGTGGTCTCAACTCCAAGAGCTGCGACTTGCAGCGCCTGACTGAGCCCGCTGCGCTGTAGCCGATCGCGCCGGGTCGCAGACTCTTCGGCTGTGGATGCAAGAGCCTTTCGCAGCTCACGAGGCTGGCTGAGTCCTTTTTCAGCTTGGAAGCTGTGATTACTTAGTAAACCTCCACGCGTCAATGCTACTTATCATGTCATGTCGCCCAGCACCGCCCTGCATGTAGTAGGGCGTGCTGCCCTGCAAACAAAGAGTAACATGCGAGGCTGACAACAGCCTTCATATTTCTCATGCAAGCAAAGCTAAAGGATGCTAAATCTCTGTAGGTTCGGGTACATAAATGAATGATGAAAAGACATCCGCGCTTTCTTCCGCCCAGCCAAATGCTGGCAAAGTCTGCTGGCATTAGGTAGCCACAATGCCTGCATGACCAAGATGCTAAAACCGATTGCCCACGCATCCCAGAGCTTATCACCCTGCAGCCCAACAATCTTGAGCTGACAGGGGTGCCGGAAGCAAGGCCAAGCACCTTGTCGCGCTTCCGGATGAGTAGATACACTGTCAACCTACGTATTATTGAAGACATTGCGCAACCCCCGGCCCCGACTGGCAAGTCGGCTCAGCCGCAAGCGGGTGATCAAATGCCGCTGGTGGACTTTCGGGGATGTCAAGGTTGGCCCCTGGGGCCCTCAACAAAATTGGAAGTAGGCTCTGGCAATGCATCGGGAAGGCTGGCAAAAAAGAGCTTCAGAGCCACGCGGGCCTCTATGGAAGCTCCATCAAATTAGAATCCTCGTCGGACCCACGCAAGCATAAGCACGCCCCATCCTCACTTTGCAGTTCATATGCCCTATCCTCTCTGCACAGGTCCGGGAAAATCACACGGATATGCCTCGAAATCACACTGTGATGATGAAGCTGCTTGACTCTGTCGCACCCAGATGCAACGCCACCGCGCCTCAGTGTCTTCGTGACTTGAGGATTTCATCAATCCTGCTTTACTCCCTGGTGCTTAGGAGGGAATGGGGGAATGGATCCCTATAGTAGTCCCTATATAATCCCTAGTAATGTCCCTATAGTTTTCCATTCCCCCATTCCCTCCTAAGCACCAGGGAGTTTAGCCTGTTGCCTAAAAAGGCTAGTCCCTATATAATCCCTAATACTAGTCCCTATAATCCTGCCTTAAAAGGGCCAAAGCACTCATGGAAGGAACTTCAATATCTGCCGATCCATTGGACCTCACCTTCACCAGCACAAAAAATCACTGCCGCAGGTGGCTTTCAGACATTCTAGGTTGGGCCCCCACCCACTGATAGTGACCACAAGAGGTAATGGTAATTATAGGTATATTAGGGCCTCTATATATACCTAGTATAGCACTATTAGTGGGTGGGGGCCTAACCCAAGATATTCTGTTGTAGGTAGGAGTCCCTTGACGTCTCCCTGCATTGGCGATTGAAGGAGCCGTGATTTTGATCTTCCAGCGCTGAAGTAATACACAGTTTCGGGTTAAGGGAGTGAGTTTAGGGCTTGGCTAATGAGAGAGAGAGAGAGGGAGAGAGAGAGAGAGAGAGAGAGAGAGATATAGATATATAATGCATGTTTTTCATAATCGCCGTCACAGCCAGAATAACAGCAGTAAGAACATAGTATAGCAAGTGCACGTCAACAGAGTAAGTAGTTACGCCACAGACTATGTAAGATAATGAAAGCCAGATCGATCATAAAATGGAAAATAACATCGAAACAGGTTCCAGTCACCATCCTACACGCTTAAGTACACCCTGAAAACCCTGAACCCTGGATACTAAACAAACCCTTATACAACTCTGTCAAAGGTGGCTTCGGCAGCTTCTGGGCCTCCACAACTGGGCAGGCAGAGATGTCCGCAGCGCGAATGACATCTCTGTACTTGCCTGCTTGTCATGGGAAAGAAGATTATAGCGTTTGGGGATCTACATCGGGGTCCTTCCCTTCTTGGCTGCTTTCACTCAAGAATCAACTCGCACGATTGCAGAGCCCTATCACCGCAGTCGGACTTCGCAGAAGCTGCAAGAAACTAAGCATGCGCTTGGGATAAGCATTGCAAGCTGAATGCCTGCCGGCAGGGTGAACTTGGCGGTGAGCTTCCAGCTACCTGACCCACCTCGATCACCAGGAAAATGCAGCATGGCACACATAGGCTTGCCATAGCACGGCTTCTATCCCCATATAGTTTGGCGATGAAATGTTTTCCGTACCAGAAGCACGTGATGTTGCTGCAACCTGCAGAAATCCACGGGGACCCTGTGCCAAACTGTCGGGGGGGGGGGGGGGGGNNCTGCAGATCAGACTCTTCCCCGGATTCTTGTTCTTGCAACATGTCGAGACAAGGCAAGCAGATTTACTGCTTGGTACAAAGACTGTACGCCAACTGCGGGCAAGCTTCCCCAAACCTCTGCTGAAATCTCCCTCACCACTGCAAGCACGGTAGTCTGCAAATGTACTTAAATCGGGATCAGACGCGACGGCAAAAAGAGTATGATGGATCCAGTAATGGTTGGGCCAGAAGGCGGCATCCCGTGACTGCAGCCTAGTCGCGATTTAATGCCACGCAGGCTGCCCCACCGCGGCAGAAAACAATGCCGTTCCTTTGATGCAGGGTTGCACCAGAAACTCACATGCTCGCATGGCGTGTTTACAGAGGCCGGGCAATTGCCACTGGAAAGACAGCTGCGCCCGGTGCACACTGTTTCCTATAGGGTACATAGTGGAATCAAGGGGATTAGCAAAGAAAATGAGGAATCCGAGACGACACCCTAGGCATGCATTATGCTTGCTGCCCAGGGTCCCATCGTCCGAAGCAACGAAGGCTTCCAAACCCGAGGTGCCAGCACTCTGCCTGGCGGACTTGTAAATCGAGCTGACACTTTGGTATGTAGCATGCAGGGAGGCGCCTCTCCATCAAACGCAAACGAGCGCCCACCAAATAAAAGCACTGACTGGTGCGCTTTAGGATTTGGAATGTGACTGACACATGCAGCTTGATGATGGAAACCATGGTCTAGGCACAGGTATGTACGTCGATTGCATGTACGACACCTGACGCACCTGCTAGAAGTGGTAAGTCATCCCGCATATCCCCCACCAGTCTGATCAGCATATAGCTCCGGAATCCCTGAACCCTAAACAGTAGGTGTTTATGGGTTTAGGGTTTAGGGCTTTTCTTATCCCTATATATATATATGAACGCCATTGGGATAATGCCCGATCCCTACATGTTCATCCCTCGTAATATTAGTTTCCATTTTCTTTCCATTCCCTTATATCCCCGCATATACCCTTACATACTTAAACCTAAACCCAAAACCCCTTCTGCATTACTCTATATGGAACCGTATTTTTGTTGGCCTCCAGGCCACCATGTTCGCGATCTCGGGCCGGCGGTGCTCGCAGACCCACGGATGGCCGTCCCCGCACGCCAGGCCTTCAAAGGATCATAGGGTTTAGGGTTTAGGATAGGGTTTAGGGGTTTTGGGTTCCATAAATATGTGGACCCCAACCTGTAGGGATGATATGAGGGTTTAGGGTTTAGGGTTTAGGATATTAAGGGTTTGTTACCCTAATCGTGGAGACTCAAATGGAAAATCAAATGGGTACTGCAAAGGATCCACCTTCGCCTGGAGATATGGGGATTTCCGAAAATTAGGGTTCCAGGGATGGATTATTAAGGGAGGTTTATAGGTTTCTATAGGGATGATGCAAAAGAAGATGGAAGCTACCATTTATGGTTCAGGGCGTCCGGTTGCCTATAATGAGGATTCTGAATTTACTCTACATTGTCTATATTGGGAATCCCCGGTTTATGGGGACTAGCCACTGTCATGCACGTGCTCAGGTACTGCATGACCCTAATTTGGCTTTTCTTCGCGCAATAGTTATTGCTCGTATGAGCTATAGTGTATAAACTCCGAGTACACCCCTATAATACTCCCCTATATCTGTAAGTATAGGCTATAGTCTGAACTCCTAGCATCCCCCTTCATGACCCCTATACAACCCCTTCAGGAGTTACCCCTATCATACTCCCCTATATAATCCCCTTTAAGGAGTTACCTTTGTAATCCTCCCCTATATATACACCCCCCCTTTCAGGAGTTTAGACTATAACTCATATCTCTCCCCCAGGAGGTAGGCCTCCGTCGCTGTGCACTGGCTGGCCAGGAGGACCCTGGTCGTGTTCATCAAAGTAGTAGGAGCTCATGACCTGCGCACATTCTACAAAATTGGGGGTTTGGGGTTGGGGACATGCTAAACAATTGGGGGACAAAGATTTTCCCCAATTGTTCAGTAGGAGCTCACGACCTGCGCATGCAGCTGTTGACCATCATCTTGGGGTGATGGACTTGAGCGCCCAACGTGAAGTGTTTGTCCGGCTACAGTAAGTGCATGTCTGCTAGCTCCACGCCTCAGTAACCTGACAGCTTCGCATTTTCGATGCGCCATGTCGTTCATGTATGAACTACAGTCAATTTCCTACATAATGGAATGGACGTGGGTTCCTTATTGGGGACTATACTAAACTACGGGGGACCCCTATGTCCCGTGTCTAGGGTCCCGTAATAAGGCTGATATTGACAGTACGTAGCTCCCATGGCACTTATGGACACGCCACATGGGCCTTGGGATAGCCAAATGGATGCGCCAACATGAAGATGTTGGCCAAGGTATACAAGGATCCGGATTTGTAGGTCAGGGCCGCCTCAGTTTCTGCACAATCAAGGCCTAAAGGCATAATTGTGCTTAGCAACGCGCATGCTTGGTGCTGATATCAAAAGACCAAAAACGGGGTGACAAAAAATTCACCACGCACATTGCGCCTTGCAGGTGCCGCCAGATCACGGTCAGACTAGAAGGCAGATAGCCAACACGAAAGTTCAGACTACGACACAACCTACGATCGCTGCATCACTCAGCTCGCAACCTCATGTTATGCAAGCATCGATCTTTGCCCTTGACCATCAATTAGGTGCGGTGATGAGCCTACTGAATTAGGCAGACCACTTCTCCGCGCTGCGTGTCGTGGTTGTCCACGAAAACACTGGCGGAGTTGCCGGAGATGAAGCCCCACTTCTCTCCGAAGGAGTCCAGATACCTGCACAGAGTATCTAAACCGTAAATAGTAGTTTCCATTTTCTCTTCCATTACCCCAATATGACCCCATATAACACCAATATCTGTAGGAAAGTGTGATGATCCTTTCAGATGCAACCTGTAACATACGGCTCGCTGAGTGGAGCTGAACTCGCTCCAAGAAGAAGCCACGACTAGCCGCCAGGAACCTGGTAGTTTCCATAAATAGTTGGGGTTGAAGTTGGACGCTAATATAGACCCCAATGTACTATAATTCTGATTATGGGGATCCCAAAATGGTGCCCCTGATTTTAGGACACAACCCTAAACCCTACATGATAGTTTCCATTTCTTCTCCATTTTCCAGATATAATCCCAACATTAACCCGTAAATAGTAGTTTCCATTATCCCTATATTACCCCTATCTAACCCCAATATAGCAAGCACCCATCCACGCGCCTCAGCTTGCCCTCGTCCAGGAAGTTTGGAGCCAGCTGCCTTGCATAGTTGAACTCCGTCACCTGCACTCAGAGAAAGTGGCTTAAGGGTTTCGGGTTTAGGATGNNATAAGGATTTAGGGTCTAGGGGTAAACTTATGGGGACTAAGCTGCATTGGGCGCCACATGATATGGAGTTATATGGTAAAACTCCCAAGCGGCAATGTAAGGAATAAGGGAGCATGTTATACCCTATGGCAGAGCCACGAAAAAAAAAGCAAGGTGCCTGGCCGATGTCGGTATACATCTGTGGTGTAACAGCTTCACCTCCACCCTGACGGGGAGATCAGGCAAAACATGGCATGCTGCCAGCCAAGGTCAGACCCAACACCTACACCTGTTGTCTCCTTAGACCCATAATATAAAT